GTGAGTCCCCAGCTCATCTATTATCACTGCCACACAGGCACCACACTTCACTACGCAGCCGGTAACAAGCTCCTAACAACATATGGGTGCTCCTCAGTCCCTCACACACTACTATTTGCTATATCACCCAGCAGATACTTTTTCATTTAGTTTTTTTAGGATTCACTCTCAGTTCAGTTATTTCAGCAAGCCTCACACTTTACACCAGATATTGTAATGTGTAGTATTATACAGTATATAATGATTAACATCATGGCTGCTGCTGGACATTTGGGTGACCACTATATATGCTATACGAACTGTATACCAGCATGCAAAATTGACCATTAGGTCATCAAGTTCTGCACTGATACTGCTGACAGGAGGCCACTTAGATGTGTAGGTTTATTGCACCCCTTGTCATTCAGTGGTGTAGTCTAAGAGTCTGTACTGAATACACTGCAGTATGTGCACTGCTATCTTCTGTGCATTAAAATGGGGTTTGTCGGGAGGGGGAGCCTTTGTCCACTGAGGTTGAGCAGTTTTTCCTTTTTACTCTACCTGCCTTGTTGTCTTTACAAGGCCACTTCTTTCCTAAACGCTAAGAATCCTAGCTGTACATTACCATCAGACCTGCTGAGATGACACGGGTCAGGTGCAAATCAAGCAAACCACAAGGAGATGGGAGAGGGGAGCACCATATATTTAGTTTATTGTTTCAGAAAGATTTAGTAGATACTGTTTATTGACTCTATGGTGTCAAACTGTGTGCACACCACACACACTTTCTGACATGTAGCAAACTGAGTTCTTGTCACCACCAATGTTGCTCTTTCTTCGTTTTGCTGTCTTTGTGCTGTAAACACAGCAACATATAACGGCTGAACAGACCTAATACCATCAAGCTACAGCAGAAGACAATAAGGATAGACAAATCCACCATATAAGCTTTAATTGGGTCATTAGAAAAGTGAGATGAGACTTTTAGTGTCCCCATCAGGAGGAGAATTGCCCATTGCCTCATGATTTTCTTGAGCATGACTATTACATATAGCATGTAAAGGCTCCATGCATCAATGATGAGTTAATTACATCATTACTCAGGAGTGGGTTGCAAATTAACACCCAGAGAAACATAGATACACACACACACACACACACACACACACACACACACTCAACCAGTAGCCTAATTGGTGAGAGCAAATGTCACATTTGTAATCACATGTGGGTGAACAGTGTACATGCATTACCACTTAGAGGTGGATGTCTCCAGCTGTTTCTTATTTCCTAGAGCTGCTCAGCTTGACTATCACAGCTGTTTTTGCACTGACTGATTTCACAAGCTGGCAAAGTAACACAATTTTGTTGAATGCTTAAAGAAACAAAGACAATTATTGCTCTGAAAATATGAATTATGCCAGTTTTGACCTTTAAAGTCACCTGTACTAACCTTTCAAAGCCACCATGATTTGATGTGAATCTAACAGAAGAAGCGGCTGACTGAGAGCATTCACTCACTGCAGCCTTTTGTTTTCACCAAAGCTCCAAATCTGAGCTCTACTGAGAGTGAAATGATTTTTTATTTGACTGACGGATCTCAGTAGTCATTTAGTGGTGTGGGTGGTGATGGTGTGATGCTGTGCTGTGGCTGAGGTGGAGAGCCACTGCCAAATAGGGACACCTAGTGGCAAAATGAAACCGTGTAACAAGACAGTTTTGAATCATCATATAGGAAAAACACCTTGGCCAAACAAAAAAGCAGGACCATACACTGGCTTCACCTATTGCAAACTTTTTTTAAATGAAAAAGTAATGTGCTAGAGTTAAAGCCGAGAGCATAAAAACCACTTTAAACACTATACAGCTGAACATTTGGAAAGACATGCAGCAGGCATCTACTGTACTGGATAATTCATTCATTCAGTCATCAGAGAGGTTTAAACATATTCTGGTTTTAAATAGTTCAGTATCAGCACCATCTAGTTTTTCAAACTAAATAAATTAAAGTAATCTTATCTCACAAATAGCAGCAAAATTAAATGTAGACTTTGAAAGCATTTGGTAAATAACACGTGATCAAGGGCTTTATGTGTCAATGTGTCTAATTTATTCAAAATGCTTCCCTTTTTGAAAGTAGTAAATTCAGACAGCCATGTCTTCTCTGTGACCTATAAAATAATTCTTTCTCTGCATTTACTTGCAGACATGAGCATGGCAGACAAATAACTGATAATGAAATGATTACAGCCTGGCAGACAGAACACATTAATTATTGTTGTTCGACTATGATCAATTACGCTGATTATGTTTGGGTGTGGGAATCTAAAGCAGGCCACCACTAGAGAGTAGCAAAGCCACATGTGACCTCAGTGGAAAATTTCAACTTTTAGCAAGCATGGAAATGTATTTGAAGCAACCTGTAAATTTACTTACAAAGCTTGTGCTGTGGATTACAGCCTGTATAAGAACAGAAAAGGGAGAAAAAACAGTAAGCGAGAGAATTCAGCAAGTAATTTGACTTTCTGAGGCCTGAACAAAGGAAGTAATGTGATTAGATTAAAAGTGTGACCAGAGCTGACTGTCATTAAGGACTGTCTAAATCACTGGTTGTTTATACATACTATCTAACATTGCTGACGTGTGTGTGTGTGTGTGTGTCTGTGTGTGTGTGCGTTGGAGCATTTGGGGTCGATGGCTTTCCCAGCTTCAGCGTTTCCTGCCTGCACAATGAACATGGCTACAAAGTGAACTTTTGGTGTTTGGTTCTACACAGGAAGGTCTTGGTTTGGTTCAAATTCTAAGCAAAGAGATATGGATGAATTCATTTCTACTATATGTGCAAATCAGAGAGTTCAAACCTCAGCTACACACTGACAGTTAGCTGAACTTTAGTCAGTGGGTTTTAATGGTTTTTTTTTTTATTTAAAACTGAATAACAGACAAATTTAAAACTTTTATTTAAATTTGGACTGCAATTAAGTAATTTTTTCATAATGAATGCATTGCTAGAAATTGTTATTTTAGGATAAGTAGTGGTTAAATGACTGAGTGTTTGAAAGGGCAAAATGACTAAAGGATGACCGCATATATTTTAGTACTGTGGTTTCTTTTGGCTCAGTGTCTTAGACATGGATGATAGTTTATTCTGTGAAAAAGAAATGAGAGTGAGGCTGTATCCTCTCATGAGAGTCTTTGTTGACTTTCTCTTTCATGCCAAAATACAACACATGCAGACGACAGTGAACACATACACTGTCAACCTGTCTTAATGAGAAACAGCTGACATGCTCAGTTTTTCTCAAACTGCCTTCTGTCCATAAATTAACAAACATAGCATATGTAAAATGATAAAACTCCACTTGATTCCCAACAGATAGGACTGTTGCTCAGATTACAAACAGATGTTGATCCAGAAAGGACGTAACAATAGACTTTATCGCTACAGCTTGATATTTTACATTGGAGATTAGGGCCTGGTCACAGTGTGTATAGATTATGCTCAGATATATCAGCATGCCAGTTTTATAGTAACAAATAGCTGACGTGTGAAAAGCTCTTACTGTACAGATGTCATTTCAGGAAATTTTGTCCTGAAAGCTGGAAGGAAATTTATTTTAACATCACAATGATGTGCACTGGATGTGTACAATTAACAGTATAATGCTGTAAAGGAAGCTGACAAAGCAGAAGACTAAATGAATTATCTGGAGCTATACTTAAAGGACTGTACAATTGTAATTTTCAGTTTTTGTTAGTGGCAACAACTGTCCCTATCTTTGTGATGCAAACAATTTTGCTGTCAACAAACAAGACAAAAATAAAATGCAGCACATGGTTTTCCCATCTTTGTTCCTGTCTTTGTTCCTCTCAGCACATCCAAAGTCAACAACAGAATTTTTGGCAGATGGGATTCAGCAAAAGAAGCATGTTAATGACAACAGGAGTAAGTCAGAGAGAGGCAGGGAGTTTTGGGGAAACAGGGTATAAAACTGCATAGATTGGTCATGCACAGCGTTTTGTGGTTTTTAATATTTATGAAAGCTTTCACAGGGAGCATTATGATGTTTTTCTTGCCTGGACAGAAGAGTTTTCTGCCTCCAAATGAGTCATCTGATAGGGGAATAGTTCCTTGTGCAATACATCTTCCTCTCCTCTGCTGTACACCTGAATCAAGACACATTTTTAACAACTTTAGCCATGTGAAATCTCATCCAGCTGTAGAGAGCCCCTTTTTTACATGAAGCTTTACACAGCAATTACAAACAAAAAAGAGAACAGAAAAAGATATAGGTTATACAGTACGGAGCCTGGAAGGAGCCTGGGTGAAGAGAAAACATCCCCTCTGTCAAGATGACTTGTAAACAGTCAGCACTTAGAATGTTACAATCTTTCTTTTCCTTTGTTTAATTGTCTTTGTATATGTTACTGGAAAAGGTGCCTTTTGTTAAAACAATACTGTCTTATAATTACATGTGGGTTGGCCCAGATATTGATCATGACACAGAAATAAAATCTAACTAACTATAAGGATAAGGGTAGGGCTGGCGACTTTTAAAATATTTTTATTACTGTTGACAAATCCCTTGAAAAGTCTAAAACGAATGTCTTAGACTGTCAGCTCACTACTTACTGACTCCGAGTTCTTCAAGTGTTTAACATCCCAATACATGCCCTGTGCCTAAAAAAAACATGCATGTCATGTTGACAACTTCATGAGAGCATTTCCACATTTTCCTTCCCACAGTAGGATTTAATACAATACAACAAAGCTCTATTAACCACAGAGGTGGGAAATTGCCTTTGTCTGATTTATTGGACCATTAAAATATCAAAAACACACTAAATATTAAAATACAAACCACAAAATGTAAATAGACCACCTGTTGTTATTCTCTGTCTGACCAGTAGTAGTCCTCAGTCACCTGAGCCTCACCTGACAGCACACCTGCCGCTCATTCCCCATAATCAGTATACAACTGTCTAGGACATTTAGCCTTGTGTGTCATTGTAGTGTTGTAGTTGTTGGTTTTTGTGCCCTGCCTCCCTGCTCATTTTTTTTTGGATTTGTTTTCCATGTTGCTGACCTCTGCCTTGAATCAAGTAAACCTCATTTTATTCCTTCCTCCTCCAGTGAGTCTGAGTTCAAATGTCACCTTCCAGAGACACTGCAAAAAAAAGGGTGGTAATGCACCTAAAGCTGGTTGCCAACTGCTGTTAAAAAGCAGAAGCAGAAGCAGAAGAATGGCAAAAAAAGAACCTGTTACAGCATCACTGAGTTATTTGTAGAGCAGTGGGGCAACAGAATAGGATTTGTTAAACTTGTTCAACAGTTTTTCATGTTACACATTTCAAAAAGGTAAATGATGTGATAAAATAAGTTTGTGTGATGTCAGTGCTTTTACAATATAATAAATTTAGGGTAAATTCAAAAGGTTTTTCTTAAGGGAGAATTTTCAGATTTTCTCCCCTAAGACAAATGTCTCCTCCTCCTCCTCCTGCAGACCTTCAGTACTGGTCTCCAAACCACAGTCCATGGAAAACAGATAATCTCATGAAGCATATACCATCCATCTTTCAGGTCAGCCCCATATGTTTTTAATCTACCGTTATGTCTTCATGATAACTAGGAGCTAGCATGACTTTCACATGTGCTCACCATCATGTCTCAGCAGAAAAGCACATGTTCTTGTAAAATCAGTAAAATACATTGCTCAGCCTGAAATACTTTATTCATCACATGTTGAGAAAGTGTGTCAGCCTTCAGCTTGTTGGTGCTGCTGACATCCTCTGGGGTTTATCTGCCCATACTATTAATAAACACCTTTCTCCTAGACACAATGCGGCCAGTCTTTAATCTCCAATACCATGTCCTCCATTGTGACACAGACCCAACCCATTTTATTTTACTGGCTTTAAGCCCATAATGGGTTTTTTTTTTAAATCACAATCAACCTTGTTTTTAGCTGGTTATTTTCTAGATCCAGACCACACTCTCTACAAGTTTGACTGTGTTCAAGACAAGAAAAGTAAAAATGTATATAAGTTAAAAAAAAATAGGTTAACAGAGCTGCAATAATTTAAGCCTTTTAGCAGCAAATTAATCAGCAGACATCTTTGGGTTGTTGAACATGACAAAAGCCCAAAGTAATTATACTGGACATTTTTCACTATTTTCTGACATTTATATTGACAAAATCATTAGTTGACCAGTGAAGGAAATTTCCAGATAAATTCATATATACAATAATCTTCATTTGTTTATGCCCCAGACTTTTTTTCTTGGTGTAATGGTCGCATGTCTATATGTACACTGACAGAGGTTTTGGTTGCTGTAATAGTTTTTCCTGGTTTTGAGCTGGTTCTTGTTTGTTGTATAACAGTGTATAAAATGGAAGACAAACTCTTAAGTCTGTATTCTTTGCAGATATATATTCTGATGTTTAGTTGAAGCTATAGACTCCAGTAGTAGCACAAAGGGGAAATCTGTCCTTTAACCCATAGAGCGGTGGAGTATGCAGTACTTTAACATGCTGGTGACTGCTGCTTAAACTGAGGAGACTCCTTTAGTCTCTGCAGAGGAGAGACAGAGAGCACTTCGGGGGGGGCGGGGGGGTATGCAGAGCAACTTCTGCTACTTTAATTATGGGGCCCAGGATGACAGAGGGGGAGAGCCCACTCTGCTTCCTTCCTTATATTATTACCATGAGAGGTTTTCTCATTGAAAATAAAATTGGTTTGGAACAGAGAACGCCCCTTGTCTCTGAAGCTTCAGCTCAACACCAGCTTGTTAAGATTAGACTGAGATCATTTAGATATCTGTATTCATAATGAACTAGCATGTTGTCAATGGCAGGTCCTGAGTTTAAATCCAGTTTTGAGCATAAATACCATTAATCTGGTGGAATAGGATTTTTTTTGTCCTTTCCAGTCATTTGTTCCTTCACCTGCCCTGGAAATTGCAAGAAGCCTGTAAAGACTGAGGTGCAAAGAGCCCTGCTGGGTGGTTTTGCGACGTAATCGTCAGCCAGTGAATGATGTGTGGAAAATGAACACATGCTGAAATCTCTCACAGATGTTAGTGGCACATACATTTAGAATCTGCTCCACATTCTCTCTCTTTAAAAGCTCTAAAAACCCACTGTGCACTACCTGTTCAGCAATTTAGTGATTAGCTGGGAACACTGTGGATGGAGTGTGTAGCAGCTAAAAGTTAGAAACCAAAAGTGATCTCAAAGGGAAGTGAATATTGGACTTTTCAAAAACACAACAAAATTATATTAAAAATATTAACAGATATCTGATTGATCTGTAAATAAAAAGACATTATGATTTGATGCTACAAATTGCAACATAACTGAATATTTCAAAATGTGACATTAAGAACAATTTGCCTATTAATGAAAAGACTGACTCCCATTGCTTTAACTTAAATGTGGGCTATAATGTGCTTTCCTCAAAACCCATTATAAAGCCTGTGTGAAGTATCACGATCACACAGCGTATCTCCTCCTGCATACAGTCATGAAAATGGAACCTGCACGCTGAGAGCAGAGGAAAGGACGAATACCCAGTCAGACTCTATCAGCAGTGAACTTAAACATGGAGCGGTCGATTTATTAACATTATCTACTAACTACTGGTTGTCATGGTCGTACAATGAAGGTGATCATAAGGATAACAGTCTAATCAGAAGACACTGTGGCACACTGCTGAGGGGAGGGGTTGCTAGAGGCACAGGTATAAAAGAGACAGCGAAGGGATGTATTGAACCAGAGTTAAGAACAGCAGAGGATTGAAATTTAAGGAAAGAGGGAAAGCACAAAACTGAGCACACAGGTAAGAAAACTCATTACCATAAGTCCATCTGCTAATGTCTAACTGCTAAATGTTTGTGAAATTATAGGTAAAGATAAAATATTGGAATGTAAATGCAACTGGCTGGTTATTGTATGTACAGCATTTACCTTATATTAGTCTTTCAGATGTTGGTAACTAATCACTTCATATTTGCTAATAGTTTTATTATAATTACTGCACTAATGTATTGCATGTACTCCTGTCAAAACCTAAATCATGTATTAATTACTTTCTCAATATCCTTTTTTCTTCTTTCATTTGTTATCGCGCTAACTTAAAAATGTACAAATGTAAACCTTGTGCGTGGGTGTGTGTTGGATTGTGTAGCCAGTGTTTTGTCATTGGAGTGTTCCCCTGATGAATGCTGATGGCTAACACAGATGTGTAATCTGAGTGGGGGGCTCCGTCCAGCCATGTTTTTTTCATCCTAGAACCTCAAAGACAAAAAAAGAACATATTTTTAAAGACATACTGTGTGTTCTAAGAAATACTGTTTGACTCATCTACATGGATGTACAGCTGTACAGTGCTTTAAGTTAAAATGCCACATTGAACACTGGTAACATTGGATTGTTGGTTGCTTATTGTTCTTCACTGTGTTATGTCATCGTCTTCCTATCAGAAATTTCTGTTGCTGGATTCTATCTTCTTTGACGTTCGTGGTGTGACTTCCAGAGGTGAAAGTTCAAGGGTCACATATTTCAGCAGATTGTGAAAATGTCACTAAAGCTTTTTCTCCTCATCCTGGGAATGACCACAGCCACTGCTGTTACTGCTCACGGTAACAACTGAGCCTCTTGTTCTGTATATTCTGAACACCACCACATCCTTCCTACAAACGTGCACATTTTAACAGGGGGACACTTGGAAATGTATACACATCAAAATATAGACACAGGGTTGTAAACAGAATCATGTTTGAAAGCAGATTGATAAACCCACAATCCACACTGAAACCTCAGCTTTAACACTGTAAAGTGAAAGGAAGATTTAATATTAAAATATGATTGTTTTTCCAACAAAAATTGGCAGGCAGCTGAAAGTATATTCCTACTTTTCTACGTAAATCACTGGTATCCCCTATTGTATTTTTCTGTGACCCTGACTAAATTCTGTTAATCAGTTTTGAGACAGGTCAGCTTTAATGTCCAACCCTAACAGGAAATCTGTTTGCAGGTTTTATAAATAGACACCACTGCATACTCGGATAAATCAAAATTTAACTCTCACATACAGTAAATTCAGGTTACTCAGTATTACAGCTACTAAACCTAATTTCTTTTCAGTCACTACAGGGTCTAGTGAGACTCAAAACAGATGCAATAAGTTACAACTAACCACTCTTTGCCCCTGCCATCACATCTCATTTCCTATCAGAAACATAAATTATAGGTGGCTACGACAAACTCTACAAAATATAGCCTCAGTCAAAGCTAGCATTAGCTGACTAACAAGTAATTGTAACAATCCAGTAGAACACTGGTTACATCCAATGTGCTAACATTACACAAGCTTGAATTACTCCCAAAAAATGATTTCAGTATAAACATAAAATCATGACCTCTGCAGTTTGGCAGCCACTGCTTTAGAGTTTTAGTTATCTAGAGCTCCTCCATGGCTGGCAGTGTGAAATGACTACTCACAGTTTGAAAAACGCTTATAACCTTCACCAGGTGGCAGGTGGGGCTAATTTATGGACCATGTTTTGAAAACAGGGTAGAGAAGCTGGAATAACAGAAGTGCTGTAGGTTTCAGGGTGTCCTGGAGCACAGTAGTATAGCAGAGAGACACCATGATCTGTCCTGTTTTCACCCGATTTATCAGAGAATGTATAAAATCTTAGCACCTTTAACATTATTGTATTATTGAAATTTTCCTACCAGGTGTTTAATGCAGCATACGCATTATAACAAAATATATGTCAAGAGCTGCATGTCAGGAGTTGCAATATTTGGAATAGCAGCCTAACTAAAGCACATTTTGATTTATCTGTTGCAGGATCATGGAGAACAGACAACAAAGAATCTAGACCTGCTGTCCACCATTATGATGGTAACTTTTATTCTTCAATTTAAAACCAAATATGTGTTCAAAAGTGTGTAACATGGTAAACACGTTGAACACTAAGTATGAGATGATTTTCATTTTGTGTTTGTTTCTGTACTCACGGTGTCGAAGACAGCTACGAGTGGACCACGTGGTTCAATGTTGACCACCCCGGAGGTCATGGAGACTATGAGCAGCTGGACGCTATTCGCTTCTATTACCGTGCTCGAGTGTGTGAGACTCCACGGGCAATTGAAGCCAGAACCACTGAATGGGTCCCAGCTCGTGAAACTGGGGAGAAGGTCCACGCAGACCCTACCGTGGGCTTCTGGTGCCTGAATGAGGAGCAAGGTCCTGAACGCAACTGCTCCAACTACGCAGTCCGCTTCCTCTGTCCTAAAGGTTTGGTCTGGTAACACTTAATCATTCAGATATTAAAGGTTGGTCTCAATGTAAAAGGCAGGCTCTACACTCTTGCATTCTTTAATTGACAGCCATTTTTCTGGTATTATATGTGGATATAACCATGTATGTCTTTTCAAGGTAATGGTTTAAATATTATTCATAAGCAATTTTTCAACAGATAACAGTATAAACATTCAGGGTACCTGGGGCCTGTGGTCAGACTGGAGCCCATGCCCTGCTCTTTGTGGTCAAGTCGGGGTCCAAATTCGCTCCAGAAGCTGCCAGTCTCACTTTATGCCTTGCAGTGGGCCTAAAGTAGAAGGAAAAGCATGCAATGGACCAGACTGCCCAAAGATAGGTGAGCTGACCTTGGTTTGTTGGCAATTTGATTTAGTCAGGCCCTAGATTAGCATAACCTTATCTGATGTAGAACATGTTCACAGAAAGGAATAGCTAACCCTTGACTTTTTTTGTACTTGTTTTATTCTTCTCATCAGAATGTCCCCTACAGTGCGTGATGGGGAGGGTGAATGCTGAGTGTGACACATGCATGTGTGAAGAGCACATTCTGTTGGGTTCTGTACGCAGAGCTGGAGGTCTCACTGCTGAAGGGGCTGCTATCCTTCGCTATGGCAAACTTCTTACCCTTACTGACCACAATGGACATTTCCGCATCCCCGGTATTTGCCCTGATGGCAACACCACCCTGACAATCAGCCTGCAGGGTCATGCCTCCCACAATGTTGCTGTACCCAGCAGCACTGAACGTACCTCAGTCCTCAGTATACAGTTGAAAAGAACAGGTACAGTAGATGTTTAGTAAAAATATTTGATTGCCATTTATGAATTAAAATGCAGTGAGGTGCATATTTGCTAACAAGGACTTTGTTAATCATGCAGGAAACTTAAGAATGTTATTTTATTTTCTATCACCAATTGTCAGAGAAACTCCGTGTGTTGAGCCACCCTGACAGCAAGGCCAGGAGGGAAGGACAAACTGCTGCATTCTGCTGCAAAGTGGCAGGAACGTCACAGCCAGATGAATACCAATGGTAGGACTTACACTGAAATTACAGTCCACAGACAATACTACTGCAGAATCCTGTAGAGCTGCTTAATGTTTAAATATGGTGTATTTCATGCCTTTTCTTCTACTGTCTGTCTTTTCTTCTGTGTGAACCAACAGGTTTCATAACAATAGCCTCTTGGAGAAGCGGTCTGACAGCACCTTGGTCTTAAAAGATCTGCATCCTGAGCAGGCTGGGGAATACTACTGTAGAGCAAGAGGTCCATCTGGTGCTATTAAGACCAAAACAGCTACACTCAGAGTCTTAGGTGTGTTTCTTATTCTTGTTGTTGCAAAACATTAATGAACACATTACATAGAATATGAATAACCAGACACTGTTGGCGTTAGGCAGAGTAGACCATTAGGTAGACTAATATAAATACTAGAGAGCACAAACCTCTGCAAAGGCAGCTCACTCTCCCCATAATGCTATTGCACTTAAAAAGCAATCTTCCCATGATATTTTGGCCTTCATAATATGATTCCTTGACCATGAAAACCTAGAATTTTGAATCACATTGATATTTTTATTAGTTTGAATGCTTCTCAAGATGATAGTTTTCTTCAGGATCTACAGTAGGTACAGCAAGTGCTGGATATGTCAGATCATTTGACACCCTACAAAATCAGCAGTTTCAGCTCATCTTATTTACACATCTGTAGTATTATTTGTTGTCTCAGTAGTGAATTTTCTGTGAGCCACTTAACATTTAACCATTATGGATCACCACATCTGGAATATTACTTTAAGCCAGATCATACTTTGGTGTGTAGTAGATTTTGTAGTGCAGTTTTTTTCTAAGCATTTTGGGCATTGTGCATGGAATGGAAGTAAAAATATTGAAATTTGCCATATCTCTCAATGGTGAAGAATCATTTAAAAGGTCCTGGATCAGAATGCTGATTCACATCAGCACTGAAATCTAATGGGTTGGCCCACACTTAACAAAAATTAAATCAAAATCCATTTTGAGGTGTGCTGTGAACAAACTGACAAACACCCATAAAAACATTACCTCCGCCTTGGGCAAGGTAATGAATGGGTTACATACCTCAGAACATAGGCAGTATGACCAACCTTATCAACGTTTTGATTTCTGTATCTCAAACACAGGTAAAGATGAGCATTCATGCAACCCCAAGCCTGAATCCCACCTCATCCATCTTCCACATGACTGCTACCAAAACAGCACCAACTCCTTCTACCATGATGTGGGTAGGTGCCCCTCAAGTACATGTACCGGACAGCTGGACAATGCCATCAGGTGTAAAGACAAAGTGGCTTACTGCTGTGGTGTGAGAAAGATGGAGAAGAGGCAGATAACATGCCAGGGGTACCAACTGCCGACCATGGTGGTGACCGAGTGTGGCTGCCAGAAATGTGTGGACACCAAGGCTATTGTGTACGGGAGAGCCATTGCTGCAGACAATGATGAGCCAATGAGGTTTGGTCATATCTTTATGAATGGAGTCAGAATCAGCCGCACAGGCTACAAAGGTACCTTCTCCGTCCAGGTTCCTCCAGACACAGAGAGGCTAGTCCTGACGTTTGTGGACAACATGCAGAAATTTGTCAATACCACAAAGGTACTTCCATTTAACACCAAAGGAGGGGCTGTTTACCATGAGATCAAACTTCTAAGAAAGAAAGTTCCTGTGACCATTAGCTCCACAGAAACCAACACTCTGGAACTTGGGGAGGTAGAGGGCCAGGAGCCAATGGTTCAAATCCAGATTCCTCCCCATTCTTTCTACAAAGAGAATGGAGAAGTTTTCACGGGTAATGTCAGCGCTAGTGTAACATTTCTCGACCCAAGAGATGTCTCCACTGCTACTGCAGCTCAAAGTGATCTAAATTTTGTAGGAGATGAAGGAGATACCCTGCCACTGAGAACTTACGGTATGTTCTCGGTTGATTTCAGGAGTGAGGAAAATAATGAGCCCCTGAATGCAGGTGAAGTGAAGGTGTTCTTGGATTCTGCTCAGGTGAAGATGTCTGAGCACCTCAGCACCATGAAGCTGTGGTCCCTGAACCCTGATACTGGACTGTGGGAGGAGGAGGGAAGTTTGCAAATGGAGAGGAAAGGTAGGAGCAAGAGGGAGGAGAGAACCTTTCTAATTGGTAATATGGAGATCAGAGAGAGACGTCTGTTTAACCTAGATGTCCCAGAGAACCGCCGGTGTTATGTGAAAGTGAGGGCCTTCCGCAGTGAACGCTTCATGCCCAGTGAGCAGGTGGAGGGAGTTGTAGTGAGTCTCATAAACATGGAGCCTACAGCTGGCTACTCCTCAAACCCACGTGCCTGGGGCCGATTTGATAGTGTCATCACTGGTCCCAATGGTGCCTGTCTTCCTGCTTTCTGTGATGAACAAAGAGCTGATGCCTATTCTGCCTATGTTATGGCAAACCTTGGAGGGGAAGAACTGGAAGCTGTCCCCTCTGCTCCCAAACTCAATCCAGGCCTCATTGGAGTGCTGCAGCCTTACCTGAGTAAACTGAACTATAGGCGGTCTGATCATGAAGACACCAGGGTGAAGAAGACAGCATTCAGCATCAATGTGGCAAAACCAAGTCCCAACACAGCTGAGGAAGGCAATGGACCAGTGTACGCATTTGAGAACTTGAAAGAATGTGAGGAGGCTCGATTCAGTGCAGCACACTTCCGCTTCTCAAGAGTGGAAGGAGACCGCTATGATTACAACACAGTGCCATTTAATGAAGATGACAAAACAAGCTGGACAGAGGACTACCTGAGCTGGTGGCCCAAGCCCATGGAATACCGGGCCTGCTATATTAAAGTCAAAATCAACAGCCCACATGAGATCAATGTGCGGTCCCACAACATGGGTGGCACCCATCCCAAGACAGTAGGCCAGCTGTATGGCCTCCGAGACACTCGCAGCATTCGTGACATGGACCAGGCAACATTATCAGCTGTATGTGTGGAATTCAAGTGCAGTGGGATGCTGTATGATCAGAACCGTGATGATCGTACCCTGGTGAAGGTGATTCCACAAGGAAGCTGCAAAAGAGAGCATGTCAATCCAATGCTTCAGGAGTATCTGGTCAACCATTTGCCCTTAGCTGTCAACAATGACACCAGTGAGTTCACCATGCTAGCACCTCTTGACCCACTAGGACACAACTATGGAATTTATACAGTGACAGACCAGGATCCGCGCACAGCCAAAGAGATTGCACTTGGACGCTGTTTTGATGGAACTTCTGATGGTACATCTCGTGTCATGAAGAGCAATGAGGGCATAGCACTGATGTTCACCTGTGGAGATCGTGAGGTGACACAGCAGAATGTCTTCCAGTCCCTGCAGAGTGCTCAAAGTCAGGTCGTAACAGGAGAAGGCAGGCAGAACCGCCGCCGGCAGAGAGCCAACAGACGTGGCAGCAGTCGCAGACGTAGCACAGAAACCCTACAAGATTTGCAGAAGCCACAAGCTAAAAAACATTAACGGTCAAGACTCTACTGCAAACTGCATATCTACAATGAAGTTAAGTAGATAGTGTCATCTCTTTTTATACATATATTTTATACTGACTTTTTTTCAAAGTGTATTGCTAAACAAACCTAGGCTATACACTACCTGGTCACATTAATAGTCGCATCTGTACAACTGTATGCCTTAACATCTGTGTTTATGAAGCTCAAAATGTTTGTTTTTGGCAAAATTTTCATAAATGTGTAAATTCAATCATGCTTATTATTGAGGTGGTGTTGTATTAAAGACTACATTATATTCTGAGATGCCTCTATATTTGTCCTCCCCAGCTACATGCATGAGACAGAATATTAACATGCATGTCAAATACACCACCACCTTTAACTATATAATAAATATAATTGAAAGTATACATTTGACAGCTTCACCAAAAACAAACATTCTGAGCTTCAGAAACACAGATATTAAGGCAGAAGTGTTGCAGGTGTGACTATTCATGTGGCTTGGCGGTGTACTTAAAGCTGCATTCCAAGAAATATTTACATTGTTGCTTTACATTTTCAGTTGTACTGTGGTAATTGACTTGAAACTGTAAATAGAATATTTATTACATATGCCTTAGTCACTGAGCTACATGTGGTACTGCTACATTAGCTTTTCATTGATGTAAACAAAGACAAACATCCATTTGACCAGTGATTTATTAAATTAGATGCTTATAAAACACTGCAATTGCCATATCTTCCACACTGTAATATCGAATTGTCCGTGTAACATTGAAACTGGTCAATTGCTAAAAATAAAAAAAAGTTGAAATACACCCCCTTCAACCAAGTGTAGCCCATATGAAGACATGGTGGGGTGAAAGCCCATAAGCCCCCGCTCCTCATCACACTTGATACAAGCCTGCAGAAGCAATGACTAAGTTAATACACTTGCCCAAGGAATACTTTCTGCAGTAGTAGAAATCAAATTAGTAAATTATTTGTCATGTGGGGAAAAAAAAACAACCTAAAGACTCTTTACTCCAAATGTTCAAGGATATTCCAGAGATGTATAAAGAGAATGGCTGTAAGGTTCTAAAGTCACATTTATTATACTCATCTTCTATCCCTTTTATCTTACAGTGAATGTCATGTGTTCTCTGTGAAATTACAACTACTACTTACACGTGTCAGTCTCCAATCGCCCACAGTGCAGCCTTTCCAGAGATAAAGATGAAAAATGGTTCTGCATTTGGCAACCAATGATTTTAGATACTATATACTTTCCTACAAGAGAACCATCCACAGCTAAGTGAGACCTATATACATAACATTCTGGTTAAAGAATTTGCATAGAACCTTGTGTTTCTATGTCACTACACTTATGATAACTGCAATATTGTATCTGCCAAGAGCAACATTTAATAAAAAATGAGCCCTGAAGGACTTGAGACAACAGCAGTTATAATGCATTCTCCATTGAAGTTGGGTCACTCAACAGATACATGATCATGTGTGTGTGAGTAGAGGCTGAATGAGAGGGAAAAGGCAATTCCTTATGTATGAATCGAGTTGGTGAGACTGGATGCTCCCTGGTATAGTCCCTCTGGTCACTGAAGCAAAATGAAGTGGGCAACACAGTTCAGATTTACCAGGATGGCACTGGACAGCATGAGAACATACAGCTGCATTTCGGAGGGTTGGGAGGGGAACAGGGCAATGGTAATGGAGCCAGTGTCACATGAAGTCCTCATAGTCTTGGGCGTAGCCACCATCGAACTCTGCATAGTCAAGGTCATCTCTCAACTGTGCTTTCAAACCGCCTCCAGGTAAGACCCCTTTCTTTTTCTTCTTCCCTTTGTTTTGCTGTAAAAGCAAGTAAAAGTCACTTTAAACTCTTGAGCTGTACTATGCAACTAATTATTCATACATTAAGCTAGTTAACTGGTATGTTAGATATAAGGCTTGAATTAACAAATATGACTCCTGATTTTGATTCACTATAGAAACCACATCCCACAAGTTTGAGCACAAATCAGGTAACAGGGCTAAGTCAATAGCACCCCCCTGGTGATTATAAATTGCACATCAATTTAATCTGTGAGAATTACAAGACAAGTATGAAGTTACTCACCTTTTCTTGTTTCTGTTTTTCACTAAGTAGGACTGACAGGGAATTACTGATTTTCTTCAAGTCATCTACCTCCACTGTAAAGAGAACAACAATAGTTAATGGTCAAGCCTACATGACTGAAATCAAGAATGTGTATAATCATATCTTTTAATAAAAATGACTGTAAAAAGTGGTTGGCTTACATGAAATACAGAGTTCCCGAAACAATGAATCCAGGAAACTTGAATAATGCACAGATTTTTCAAACTGGGATATCTTTTCCTTCAGCAATTTTTCAAACTCTGTGAAATCCTCTTTGGAAGATGGACACATGGCATCAATCCCAGTGATAATGTTTGATGAAGTGCTGCTGACACCTGGAGAAAACAAACAAAACCAGTCTGTCTCTTCAAAGGATATAATATTCACTGATTCAAAACCTCACTTCTATACTGGACATGTGGTGTGTTGCTAATGATTACACATCAATCTTGCTCAAGGGTATGAATCTGGGCATAATTCTGGGGCTGCCGAGAACAGTGAACAGTGCCACCACTAGTCTGTACACCACAGACCACTGTCATGTTATATTAAGACTGTTTTCCACCCCTCAGAACATGCTGAAGATGTTCCAATTTAACAGCAGTTTATCTATATGAGACCTTTGTTTTGTTGAGTGGAAAAGTATATAATATCTCAAAAGCACATTTTAGTTGGTCTTGTGTAACTCCATGAGCAAGTAAAATTGATTACAGCAAAAATCCAAGCACAAATTAAGCATTAAATAGGAGCTGCATTAAGTACAAAAAGCTAAGTGTATACAGTGGAAAACTACATTTTTCATTTTGTATCAGAAAGACGATCCCGTCTTACCAAAAGCATCTTTTGCCAGCTCCAAGTCTGCATCTTCTTGCAATTTCTTCACTCTTAACTTCTCTGCAAGTTGCTCTTCAGGAGTGAGCTCTGCTTCCTGTAATAGCAGATGTCAAAAATCTAAGAGATGACAGGGGGAAAGGGCTCTACAGCACAAGTGAAAATGAGTATGTGCAAATATGAAAGAAAAAAAAAAAACATTTGGGTGCATTGGTGCAAGTGATGCTAGTTCTGAGCTACTCAATTTATCACTTCTTGAAGAGGTCATTGAGTAAGATTAGACCATCAGAAAGTGTTTTTGTATTTAAGACACATGCAGCCTCTCCTTTGATTTGATTTATTTATTCTTTCAAGCATGTAAAACAGTTGATATGACAACACACATAATTTTACACATAATCCAATATCAATTTGCTTATACCTAGTACATGCTTGAATGGAGTAGGAAGAAGTCAGACTTATCCAGTCCTACCCAATGACATCATCTTACAATCATTGGTTTGCAATCAGTGAATGATTCACTTCTGCCCACACACATATTATACTAAAAAAAGATTATAACAGTGTTAGCATTAATACATCACACAAGTAATATACTAAAGAATTATTACAAAGTGTACACCACACTCACAATGTTTCATCTAATTAATCATTAAGCCTGTTCTTGCATATATCTTGATTGACACATACCTTTATATTTGTGTTTAAACTCATCAATTCTAGTACTATTTTTTATGTCTACACTTAAATTATTCCATAATTTTACCCCACTTATGGATTTGTGTCTATATATGACCAACAAGAGGGATAATCTCCTCCACACAGAATGGTAAACTGAGCAAGATTTTACACTTATTTTATATATAAGATATCAAGTCTCACCTTGTTCAAAAGTAATTTAAAAATAACAGTATCATTAAAGTACAGTATCAGTGAGTAGTAGGATTGATTAAATCAGTGTACACAACATTCAGGTAGCAACTTTTCATTTAATGCAAGTGCAGATCATCATTTTTTGTATTTAAAATGAAAATGGCAGGTCATGCTGCTCAATAATATTAACTTCATGACTAACTTGATACTGGATTCTGATTGGGGAAAAGTTATCAAACCCCAACCATATTTACTAAAGCCTAAAATGAAAACTGGAGGCATTCATGAAACACAAAGCATCACAGACTTTCCCAAAGTAAATATGTTGACAAATTCTTCAGTGATATCCTAGATGCCAGTTTGAATCTCTGTCTTATGCATACTCTGTTTACAGTTTAACAGATTTGCATTATAATTTGTATAATATAATAGTAATAATTTGTATTGTACAATAACTGCCCCTAAATTTCTACCTCTGCCCCTAATTTTTATTTAAAACAGTAGTGCCCCTAAAAATAATTAGAGACCTGCAATGGGGACAATAACTTTCTTACATATTAAAGAAAACTCACTTTATCCTGCAATTCTTTGTCCTTCAGCTCCTGTTGTTTTTTCTTTAACCGGTTTTCTTTCTCTTTAATCTTCTCACTCAACTTTTTCTTTTCAGAAACCTTTGTCTCTGAAAACAGTGGAAAAATAAAATGTCCATTTGAAGAAAAAGAAGACAGCTGTTGTATAGTGAATGCTTTTGTGAAACAAGTGGCAATGAAATACCTGTTTTTTTCACCTCTTCTTTTTTCTCATCTTCTTCATCCTCATCATCCCAATTGTCCTGTGAATAAAAAGGTGAAATTGTTGCCATATTATTATTCAAGCCACACAGACAAATGTCAATTAATGCTACAAAAAAAATTGTTTCTTGGAAGTGTAGCTGCACTGCAAGACAGTATAATTAATTGTCAATTATATCCACAGTCACTGTTAATCATTTGTCCTTTGACAACTGACAGATCTTTCCCACACACATCGCTTATCTGACATTAACTATTTCACAAAAGGTGAACTCAGTTTTCAGAGATACACACATTACTCAATACTGTTATATTTGAGCATACCATAAGTACCATTTGTAAATTGGGATTATAAAATTATTTTTTTTGGACAATTATTAATTGCATTAGTCCCTGGTTTGTCACAAACATTTCACCCTGCTTGGTGAGTAAAACAGATCGCATTACAGAAAACAAGTAGGCATCGGCTTCTTTATTTTGGGCACCATATGTGACAGAAAACGACTAAAAAGAGGCCTCGACCAGCACTTTCTCTGGCTCCATTATCTGAGGTTTTTGGACATTAAATATGTCGACATTCAGGTCATAATCACCTATAGTACAGTGTCAAGTGAACACCAGATTCTCGCTACACGCCGGTCGTGAAGTAGGAAAGTTCTGGGCCTAGTAGTTGGATGACTTGAGTCACCAAGCCAGATGATTTCATCTGACTGTGGCTAAAGTTGGTTAGCAAGCTAACGCCGCCTCATGCTGAACCTAACTCAGATGTGCGAATTCAGGTCAGGAGATAAATGTTTAACACCTATAGTATAATAATGCAACCAACTTGGGGGAACGATGAGATAGCTGTCGACATTAACCCGAGTACTCCAAACTTAAGTTAACGACGCTATCGTCGACTTCACCCAAAGGCAAAACTAATTTTAGACGAAAGCTGACATGGGAGCCTGGGAGTTTGCTAGCTTAGTGGCCCAGTAAGAGGTTAGCTACGTTATCCAAATTTTGCCCGGTTAATCAAGGATTACATTGCACATTAAAATAGCCAATAATGCAGATTTGGGGTTTAATCTACAATCGTCACCTGGCACATTAACATTCACTGTGATAATGGCACATTACGACAACTGAAACCCTAGTAGTAACGTTAGCCTCTCGCTAGCTAAGATGAAGTTATCACAGGCTTCCCGATGGACACAAATTAGTTAGCCGATGCTAGCATAAAGCTAAGAGTCGGGGGTTAAAGCATGGCATTACAGCCGGGGCGGCAATGCTTCAGTGCAGCGTTAGCTTCACTCTTACCGGACCAGCTAATCGCTCCCTAAACGTCAATCTGACAAAGGCTGGCTGAATTAAATCCCAGAAATAACTGTACGAGTATTTGTTTTATTAATTTACCTTAACATCTTCATCTTCGTCTTCGCCTTCCCATTTGTCCAGGGCTGCCGCCTTTTTAATCGGCTCTTCTGGCTCGAAGTTGTCAGCGTCTGTGAAAACGACAACATGAAATTCGTTAGGCCAACCCACGTATAACGAGCGAGTCTGACAACGACGGCGCGTTAAACAATGTGACAAGCGGATAATTAACAAACAGCTATCTTTCTCAACTTAGTTTCTCACCCCAGTCCGCCATGTTGGCTGTGTTGGTTGCGTTTGACAGGCTCTCAGTGAAGTCAGCGCTGCTGCCAGTTGGCCACGCTCGTAAACAGCTCCCACCTTCGGGACGTCACTCCGGGCTTATCTCATGTCCTAACTGCCCTGGACACTCGGATGTTTTCCTCAATTAAACCTTTACCATGATGATGGTTTTATGAGTTAAGTAATGAAATTAATCACAGACCCAACACCTTTAAACGGTCCATACCCAGTCCACGGTATTTTTTTTTTCTCTCAACACAAGCTACCCTACAAGTCGGACTATATAGGGCAAAGCTACTAGAGACCTAAAGTACAAGCACTAGACAAATGCATTTCCTGAAGAAAATGCATGTGGATGCTGATTACTGAAGAATTGCACTGAAAATGCCCAAATCCATTGCTGAAACAGCTGAAGTCTGAGATGCAATGCTGAATAACTATGGAAGATAAAATGAAAAACTGGAGTTGGGAATTTAACTTCATTATCAGAAGAAGGTGAGAGCTTGAGAACATTCCTAAAACAGTGGAAGGCTTAATCTCAAAGTGAGAGGTAGAAATTAAATGGCTTAAAGTTCTAAAAAAATCATTTTACTGACATCTGACAGATATATTTTAAAGGCAGACAAACCTGTGTGTGTGTGTGTGTGTGTGTGTATGGGTGTGTCACTGTATTGCTTTGACTGTGCATGTTTGAGTTTTGTGTGTGTGTCTTACTGTGTGACCGTTCGTGTGGTACCATGCTAATTTTAATGTTTCTGTTTTAGGCAATTAAAATGGGTGCCTCATCCCTTTCCCCTTACTAAGCTGCGTTAATCAATAGCAGAAACCAAAAGTTCTAATTGTGTTCATCTGATAGTTGGATAGCTTGGTGGTTAATGCTACTGACTTTGGTACAGCAGGTTGGGGTTCTATTCTCTGTCAAGGCATGATAGATTATTTTGTGAGTGTGATTTAGATCCCTTTGCAGTCTCATTAACCAATAGCAGAAACCAGTAAAAGAAATCAGAAAATATAAAGAACAGGATAACATAGTGTGGATGCTGCTGACTCAGTATCCACACAATTACACAGGCGCCTATGGAAATGTATACATATCTTTAGTGATAATCAGTGTTGGAAGAAGTATTGTTTAAAAGAGGTAATACAAGTAGCAATATCACAATGTAAAAATATTATCTTAAGTGAAAGTCCTGCATTCTCGAATGTACAAAAGTATTAAAATCTAAATACTTAAAGTAGGTGCAGCTAATAAAAGTGTAGCAAATTTTTACCTTATACTTTATAATTTGAATTAATGCAAGGTACCTTGTGAATTTACCACAATGGATCAATAGTCTCATGCTTATACTGTATTTTATTTAGTATTTTACTAATCTCATAAAACAGAATATAAAAATTGTACAACTAGGTTATATTTGTCTCTAAAATGAAAACACTCAAGTACAGATGCTTAAAATTGTAAATGCAGTAGGCCTGCTTCAGGTAAAATAGTTATTTCCAAAAAAATCAAATTATATCCATATGTGCAAAATGATATTTTTAATAACTTTTTCTTCTTTTTTTCATTGTTTGTTTTAATTATACAGGCGTCTGTTCAGTTTTGTTGTACTAAACATATTTGGGTTGGAATTTGCGTGAAAGCTTATTGGGAGCTGTATAACCACATACTGTGTATTATACAAAAATATCACACTATATAAACTTACTGCAGACGTGAGATATCAATGCAAACTGAAAACTGAATAATTTTACTAAGTGTGCATGAACATTAATTGAAAAACAGCCAATTAGAGGCACAGTGGTTCATTTTTATATCTACATTTATTTGCACTTATCATACCAGAAATTGTGCACAATATAAAACCCACAGCAACAACAGGCAGAAATTAACCAATACTCTCAGGTCTTGTTGAGCATTATGTACTTTATCATCATATTACTTTCTATAGATATATAAATACACCAAACATTACAGTTGTTACACTCACAAACATACATCAGTTGACAAAAATATATAACTTTGTAGGCTTGCAACAACTTTGATTTGCTCATAAAAAATAAATAAGCCAAGTGTTACAAAAATAATTATGTGGGTGTTAATTAGACTTCCTGCATATACTGTTTATCTTGTGAAAATGTATTATTGTTTTCTCTTTTTTGAATTAAACATTGTATTTGGTTCCTTGCTGAATGTTGAATGTTCTTAAAGAAAGTATATAGAAATCCTGAAGTGCTGCTTATTTCAAAGGGGTTTGGTATTGCACAAATAAATGAGATTATCTTGGTTATATGGGTGAGGAGGTGTCTCCTAATGCATCAGAGGTGAGTGGGGTCATGTGCCAGGCCAGTGCAAGTCAATGGGGCAGGACGATCAGCAGCAGCAGTCCCAAGATGAGACAGGTAGGACTGTAGCCCAGTGCTAGCCCCAATGACTTTCCTAAAGCAACACAGAGAAACCAATTCAAATGTAGAACCATGCAAAACATAATCCCTGTGGATTACTTGTCCTTCTATATCATCACAAAAAGCACAATCAAACACATTTTGGAATATTTGATTACACTTTGAGTTATTCATTTGACAATAAATGTGGTCACAACACATAAAGTGACATTTCAGCGGTCTACCTCTGAAGTCCACAGTCCTGTCCTCCCAGGGCGTCAACACCATAGCCAGTGCTGTCCTCTGGATATCTGACAGAGCAGAGACCTGTTCACCAGTTACTGCAGAAGCTTGCTCATAGGAGAACATGCTGATCTGTCTCTGGTGAAACACCACCTTGAGGAAATGACAAAAAGAGAAACAGAGGGGCAGAGACAAGACAGCACAGCGTAAAAGCTCATTCACACAAATCTGGAAATGTGCAAATATTGAAAAGTCCAGGGAAGGTATTGAAAAACTAAATTTAAACTTTGAACTTTTTTTCTTACCAACTGTAGACATTAAGGCATGTCGGTTTTGAAAAATCCTATTATCAATTTTCTGCTGTTTATCTGGGTCCAGATTGAGTCATTTTAATTAACTGTATTTTGAGGAATTATTGTTGTATACTTCTGAGAATTACTGAAAAAATGCTTTATGATAAAGAATTTTGTCATATTGTCTCTAGTGGTTTTCTGTTACATTTTATGTTTTGACCAGTTTGGTCATGAAACAGGTATTAAACTGTCTTAAAATTAACTTGGTGAACCCTGCAGAAACCTTGATAAATGGATCAAGACAGATGAAGATATTTTTGGACTTGAGAGGAAGAATTTTAAAAAAGGAGGCCTTGAATCCTTCTTAAATCAAGAGTTTACGATGTAATGTTTTCTTGCTATATTTAAATGCTGACTTACACTAAACTTTGCAGGTGGTATCATTGAGATAGCCGCTGGTGTGATTCCTTCGATTTGCTCTTTCACCAAAGCTGACATGGCCATGTCTGGGAGACCAGCTGCAAAAAGTGCAAAATATTTAAAAGCGAGTGCAGTAGTGCAAAAGTTGCCTGAGTCCAGACCGCTGGGATTCACATAAGAGAGAGACAGTAAATTCTGAGGGTGCCAAGAAAGTAAAAAATTTAAATGAGATTGTTTTTATTTAAGGTTATGAGTACATATTGCATGAGGCCGAGCAGTAACTTATCAGGTGGAGTCAGTGAATGAACCCTACCTGCCAGAACACCAATCTCAATGAAGACCTCAGTTCCCCATGAGCTTATGGTTCCAAAAGCAAGGCTGTTGGTCAGCAGCCCAGCAAGAGCCAACAGTTGCTCCTCTGAGCAGGACAGCGCCAGCTGGCCCAGCCAGAGCACTGCCTTACTGCAGCCACCAGGGGGAGACAAAGCACAAGAAGAGAGTAAATATGATTGGCACACACCAGGACCAAGGTGTTAAGAAACATTTTAAAATGTGTATTTGCTCACCTGAACTCTATGGCATTGAATTGCATTATCTCTGTGGTTTTAGCTCCACACACAATGTATCCCATTGCCACCAGTGTGCTGGAGTCAAGCTGGTTTGGACTCTGCTTGGTGGAGTTTAACACTGCAGCAAACAATGTAGTCAGCTACGACAAAAACAAGAATTATTATCTAGACAGGCTTTTTTAACATGCACTCAATTGCCAGTTTACTAGGCATGCTGAGCTTATGCAGTCTACTGCAACAGGACAGTTGTTGGGTTTTTCTTTGGAAACCTGTCTGTTGCTCCAGGAACTGACAGCACCCAGGACAGCGATGCTCCTCCGCTCAGTCAGTCGGAGATTGTTCAGCTCCTCTGGAGTCAGTTGTACTGCTATTCCACCCAGCTGAGAGATCACAGACTGGGAGAGGGAGGAGACGGGGCCGTATAGCTTCACGACATTTCAGAGGGATCCAGTAAAGACAGAGAAGACACACAGTGTTAAAACCTGGGCTGAGGAGGGTAAACTTGAATTAAGCACATCTGAGAGGCTGCTAAACTGACCCAAGTAGACTAAAACAATGAATCTCACCTGTTTGACTTTCCTAAGCACCTGGCTGCTTTGGTAGGATCCAAGGAATGGGTCTTGACCCATCAGCTCCAGACAGTTGGAGAAGGCTGATGAAGACATACTTGTCAGGCTGTTGGATGGCCAGGCAGCAGGAGCTGTTGTACGCAGAATCTCACAGGTAGGAACCATAGGAGCCGCTGGCAAAGCAGCACAGACACAGTGAACTGAGCAGGAGAAGATGCTGATATACAGCATATGACTACATGTAAAGCATATATCATCAACAGCTTCTATTATGTGTTTCTGTCAATTTGATACACTTAGTTCAAACATATATACAATAAAAAAATAGCAATGGTTTTATGGTTCCCAGTCAAGTTGTTCAAACATATATACAATTAAAAAATACCAATGGTTTTATGGTTCCCAGTCAAGTTTGGGGTACTTAAGGAGTATATTACTGAGCATATTTCAAATGTGCTATGTGCTGTCAGTCTTATGTATAGCACTTATTGCAATTAATATGGAAATGTTTCTTTGCCAATTACTGTACAGTGAGAACTGAGCTGGAGATAATATTAAGCTACCTGGCTGCAGACTTGTACTGAAAGGACATATGAGAGTGGTATCAAACTTCTGAATAAACTCTCAGCAAGAGAGCAAATGTGTATATTTCCTAACATCTCAGACTATTCCTTTAATAACATTCTATTTGGTTAAAGGCTCTCCTGTAATTGCCTTGGCTATCAGAAGATATATGGCGTTTTTTTTTTTTCCTTTGGAGTTCTGTTAGTTATTTTAGAAATTTCCAAAGCCAAAGTGATGCTCACATGACTGAAGATTTATTTTGAGGAAGCCCAGGAAAAACTGGAGAACAAATTGCTGCTTTTCAAATAATGTCCTCTTCTCACTCTTCTCCAAACAATGGGTCCCCACATCCCCACGTTCCCACTGACGCTGACTCATAAACAGCTTCTCTATACGCCCCACAGTCATCAGCGCCTGTGGGAACAAACCAAAAAAATACACACAAAGACACAGACACACATTTGATGCTTTACAAAACACAGGAACGTTACCATCTGATCCTGACACCTACTGGAGATGTGACACCTGATGGATTTATTTACCTTTGTTGGCCTAATGTGCCACAGGATCCCGTAACAATCCCAATGCACGACTATTGATTTACAGACATCAAATGAATCTGTTACCAGGGCAGTGTTAAATTTTTCATAGTCCGGGGAGCAAACTGTCCAGTCTCAGGAGCAATTAAGATACAATACCAAATGAATAAAAACAGCATTCAACTCACCATGGAAATCTCCTGCAGTTTGTTGGTAGGCAGAAAGAAAAGAAACCGGTCCACCTGATTGAGTGTTGTCTGGTTCCAGTTTTTGACTGGACTGTGAGGAAACATGAGAACAAATTATCATCTTTCCAAAGTTTCCTGCTGTGCAAAGAACTGGTACGCAAAAAGGGCTTTACTTTTTGCCAGTTTAAACCTCTCCCGTATAATTCTGATAATTTGTTTTCCTGTAAACTTACAGTACAGAGTGTGGAAATCCTGTATTTTTAAAAGCCTACAGGATAAACTCTTAAAAATATGTCATTACAACGCAGAATTCTTTACTCTTGGCTGGATTTTTTTCCCCAAGAGAAATGGAAAATTTTCATATTATAATGACAATGGTAAAATAATACATTCAGTACATAAACCCAAATTCACAAAAAGCCTCACCCACTTTAAATGTGCTGGTTGAGATGCAAATTTAAAAGCTGTAAAACAAAGAACCATAAAACTGCATGAACTGATGAAGCTCTGTATTAAACTATTACTGTAATTTAAACTGCAGCCCAACTGTTCTTTTATTGTTATATTTATATTATTTTTTGACCTTTGACCTATGAATTTAATTTGAATGTTGTGTGATATTTTATTTTTTTAACAATTAAATGTTTCTTTTTTCTACTAATCAAATACGCCCACAGGATATGTAGTGGCATGGTTTAATGTTTTGTTGCTTGTAAATTTGTTGTTCAATAAAACATTTTTAAAATGTGATTTTTAATGTCCCTAACAGTTAAACCTTTAAGTCTGAGATAAGGTTACCCAAAGATGGCAGGTTCTTGCATGATACCAGCCACAATGTCCATCTTGCTGCTGCTGTAGCACAGCCCCCGGAGGTAATCCAGACAGTCAGCGAAGAAGCTGCGGTCCAAATTAACGAAAACCTCATCCACCACAAATGGTGCCATAATGCCCAGTGAACGAAACTCCTGCTCAGTGAACACCCCTGTGTACATGC